TGGAAAAAAAAATGAGATCTCTGCTAGTCTACATATCATACCAATAAGAGAATTAACAATCACCCAACTCAGTAATTGCCCTATTATTATACAATCAGCAAGCAGCAGAGCTAGGGTTTGGAATTAGGTCTGACTGCCTCCATTATTCATGCTCTTTCTTTCATCCCCAGCTGCTCAAATTCTTTAAAATAATACCTTGATGGAGCATAAGTTGGGAGAACAATATTAATGGCTTTTTAAAAAATTTTTTGATTAACTTTCTTATTTTTGTGTGCTTTACTTCAGTATTATTTGCATATTCACTAACCATTTATTCCTCTATCAAAATTATTTATTGAATAAATTAGTATAATACATTGCCCTGCCTTAAGGAAACTTTATGTCTGACTTGAAAAGTTAATTAACATTGTGAGATGAGAATAAAGTGCCATCACAAGAGAGCATATTACCAACAGCTAATGACACTGTACACATAGGAATGCTTTTGGAGTTTAGAAAAGGACAAGATAATTGTGCCTAATCAGGCATAACAAAATAATTTTTAAAAAGCAGAAACTTTATAAAAATAAATATTCCCCAACTCCTCCCAGGATCACTCTTGTAGACTTAGCCTGCTTAATGATTCCAAAATGCTTTTACCTATCTTTGATTTAATTCATATTGCATGTTTTATAAGTTGGATTCTGACATTGCGTGTTGACATAAGTAGGCTCATGTAACATGCAATCTGCTTCCACAAATTCACTACCATCTTCAGTACAAGTATGCAGAGTCACATGCTCCAATAAAACACAATCCTCCTCACTTTATCAGACACTGTAGAAGAGAGTGGAGTACAATAAAACAGAACACAGTAAGGCAGTGCACATCTTAAGCAGAAACATGTAAAACAAATACTGTACATGGAAGCCCAACTTAGTCAACATTTGCATTTACTTCATACAAGTTTTATAACGCCATCACACACTCCTAATCTGTCCCTCTTCCTTTGCATATCTATAACTTGCATAATTAAATCAATATAAAGAATTGTATCTGTCAAATCACATTTTTTTCACACACACAAAAACAAATACTGTAGCAATTCAGATTTTCATGAAATAAGTCACAATGAGGATAAGAAGATAAAACTACTTTTCATAAGATAATAGAAGAAGGGTAACTGGGAAGGGTGAGAATCCTCTCTCTCTTTTCCCTTTTTTTTTAAGATTTTATTTATTTGAGAGAGAGAATGAGATAGAGAGAGAGCATGAGATGGGGGAGAGTCAGAGGGAGAAGCAGACTCCCTGCCAAGCAGGGAGCCCGATGCGGGACTCAATCCTGGGACTCCAGGATCATGACCTGAGCTGAAGGCAGTCACTTAACCAACTGAGCCACCCAGGCGCCCTGTCTTTTCCCTTTTTATTTGACAGACTTTGTGGCTTGGTTTCCTCCTATGAAACAATAGTATCTCAGAAAAGGGAAGTGCTAAACAGAAAGCAAAGATTAAGTGAGGCGGCTGACAGCATTGGGTAGGTTTTTGAAACCTTGAAGTCACAAGAATTGGACAAATAAATAAATATCACCGATACAAAGTGCGACTAAGTTTTTGGAGATATACTTCACGGGTTCCTCAGGCAATTGCAGACATTAAGAGACTTCAGGGGCGCCTGGGTGGCTCAGTCGTTAAGCGTCTGCCTTCGGCTCAGGTCATGATCCCAAGGTCCTGGGATCGAGTCCCACATTGGGCTCCCTGCTCGGCGGGAAGCCTGCTTCTCCCTCTCCCACTCCCCTGCTTGTGTTCCTGCTCTCACTGTCTCTCTCTCTGTCAGATAAATAAATAAAATCTTTAAAAAAAAAAGAGAGAGAGACTTCAGTGGAGCCTGGGTGCAGGGGGATGGGGTAGATCTGAGGACCACTGAGAAAACATTGCCTTCATGTGGGGATATTTAAAAGAGAGGCTAGGAACGTTTTGAGATTACACTGGAATGGAGTTGGTGTCACTCTTTCACGAAATCACAACAATTACAATTTCCATCTTGAATATTTACTCCATGCCTGGTGGGATACTAGGTTGTTACATTCACTAATTTAATCCAATCTTCAAAACATCTTTACGGCTAGGCATTTAACAACATTTTAGAAACAGAGAACCATGTTTCAGAAGAACGAAGTAACTTTCCAATCTTAACCCAGAGAGTAAATAATAGAATTGGCATTTGAACCCAGCTCTGTCTTATCCCAAATTATGTATTTGCCTTTCTATATTATGGTGTTAAATCATCATTGAAATGTTGGCCCAGGCGTTCTGTCCTAATCCACAGAAAGTATTCATATAATATTAAGATATGTAGGAGCACCTGGCTAGCTCAGTAGGTAGAGCATGAGACTCTTGATCTTGGGGTTGTGAGTTTGAGCCCCATATTGGGTGTAGAGATTACTAAAAATAAGATCTTAAAAAAATAATATTAATACATATAAACAATTTTGATAAATATATAATATTAATTTCCTATTTGATCCAATAATGATTTTTAGTAGATATAATTTTGGATTTTCCTTCTTTAAAATACATGCTACTGCTTATTTTTATTCCTGATGTAAATACTTAATGGAACAGAAATGTAGTGGAAATACTACAACCCTAAGAAATTTTCATTATTCTGTTAAGCTTGTATTACTAATAGTTTAATATTTCAAGATGTTTTTAGGGAGACACAGATTTCACTGATTAAAACTCTTTTGTTTTAATGACAAAATGATATTCACAACAGCTTTTTCTTATTTGATCAAAAATTAAGTGAATTTCTAATGTCAAAATTTTGTTGTTAACTATTTCCATTCTCACTTTGTTTTTGCAGACTTATGCCAACACTTTGGCATAAGTTTGGCTACCTCAAGCTTGAATATTATTTATTTCCCTTAATTTGAATTTGTGCCAGAGCCTTGGGTGAAGTTGCCCATTACTTTGTTAAACATCTTCTGTTCTTGGTCTACTCAGAACACCTTCAGTCAGCAAAACGATTACTTATAAGTCAGTGTGAATTGCTAATTATCCTCATTTAGTATACCCTGCCATTTTGCCAAGCTATATATTCTTGAAGAACTCCATCTGGTACCAGAGACGACTGGATTGCTAAATATTCACCTACCAGAATCTAGGAATTACTGAGCAACTGGTGAAAATTATTCTCAAAACTACCATAATAAATAAGGTGAAATTTTCTCTTAATGTGTCCAAGAGCTTAGCACCTTTATTTGCCTACTTTCTAGCACTTCATTAGAATAATGGGAGTTGGGGCGCCTGGGTGGCTCAGTTGGTTAAGCGACTGCCTTCGGCTCGGGTCATGATCCTGGAGTCCCTGGATCGAGTCCCGCGTCGGGCTCCCTGCTCGGCGGGGAGCCTGCTTCTCCCTCTAACCCTCCCCCCTCTCATGTACTCTCTCTCTCTCTCTCATTCTCGCTCTCTCAATTAAATAAATAAATCTTTAAAAAAAAAAAAAGAAAAATGGGAGTTTATTTTTTTCACTTTTCTCTGTTTCAGTAGATTCTCTTTTAAGCTCTAGTTTAATTTGTTTCCTCTCTCTACATTGGCTTGCATCACCTGACGTCTTCCCTTACTTTTTTGTTATATCTTTACCCTTTATTTTCCCTTCTTTCATAAATTTTCTTTCCTCTTTCCTATTACCTGTGACAAATTCATGTTTAACTTGCTACAGAATCTTCCCTACAATCTCACAAAATATTCAATTTAGTATTAATTCCCTTCCCCTTTTCACAAAATATGTAGATTAGTTAGAGGTCTAAACTGCTCTTGTCATTATTTTTCTGGCAAGGACAGATTCTGATACTTCAGACTCTGCTGACAACTTTTACTGCTTCATCCTAATGAAAATCCTCCACCTCTTATTGTTTGGCCTCTTTCCATATTTATTTTGAGGATTCCAACAAAGCAGAAAAAATACTTAAATAGTCTGCTTCCCACCAGAGTCTTCAGGACTATTTCGTTTCTCATAGATACATTAAACTTAATTCTTTCAAATCCATCAGAAAGCTCATGATTTCAAATCATGATTTTAAAGTCCAAATCTAATTTAATCAGGGAAATTTGTTGATGTCTTTCCCAAATGTATTCTAAAATAATTATTCCACAGCTCTCCTATTCGATAAGGGCTTACTAATTTTGAAATAAACAAACTTGATTTCACCACTCAGTATATTTCATGACTTTATCACAGATCAATTTAGAAAATTATATTCTATAAGACATTACAATTAATAATGAAAATTGTATCTCATGCTTTCTTCAGGCTGTTCCCAATGATGATGATTAAGATCAGAATTTAAAATCTGACACCATACCCTCCAGAGCCTATATCCAGAAAATTACTACTTTCTATTCCTTAGAGCAAAGATTCTAGATTTCTTTTTTTTTTTCCAGAAGCTCTTTATTTTCCATCAACCTTATTTCCACTTTCTGTTTAGAGTCAGTAGAAGAGCTTCAGACTGGTCAGTAGTCGTCCCCACACTCAGGCCTGAGCAGTGGGAGCTGCAGACCAGGCCTCAGCAGGGAACCGAGGGCCCGGAGCGCCCGGAAAGGGCACCGATGCGCCTTCAGACCCCCCCACCACCTCGGGCTGAGTAGCAGTGAACTCTGGAGCTGGGGCTGTGCATTCGGCCTGAAATTCCTCCTTGCTCACAGCCTTTCCAGCAGCAGCCTGCGCTTCCTTCAGTCTCTTCGGGATCTCTGTGGAAGCAGAGAGCTGCTGTGACTTCCCGGGAGAGCTCACGGGACCCGGGACCGCCCGTGCGCAGAACTTCCCAGCCGGCGTCCGCCTCCTCAGGCCCGCCGAGTTCGCCCCCTGTGGTTGCGCAGGATGGCCACGGCCACGTCGGTGGAGGAGAGTCTGTCACACAGAGCGAGGGCAGGCCGGTTAACCTGAGATGCCTCTGGAGAGGTTGGGTGAGCACTGGGAGCAGGAACCACCAGAAGTCTCGGCTCTGGAAGGCTGCCTGGATCCGGTTATGGACGGAAGGTTCCAGCAATGAAGCAGCCCGCAGCAGGAGCGGCTCCAGCGGCAGCAGCAAACGTCAGCGCAGCCCGCTGGCCAGTATTCCCGGGGGATGTGACATGACCTCACCGGGTTTTCAGTGGCAACAAGGGCGCGAGCTGCCAGCAGAGCTTCTCCCAGGCTGTCTTCAGATTTATGGTGTAGACGCCATTTTCCTTTTGTAGATGTACCGATCCGTTTGGAAGTCAAGGTTGGTGCCGTCTAAGTGGATTCCTGCTGTAAGAAATTTAAGGAGATCCCCTCCTTCACTTGTAGGACATCAAGGGCTCTAGACATGGTGAAAATTTACCTTTAAGTAAGGACAGAAACTCAGAATAACACTGTATGGACTCCTCTCTGGGTAAGGCAAAAAAAAAGCGCCTATATTTCTTTTTGTTTTCATACTTTCTTTTTTAATTTAAATTCAGTTAGCCAACTTATAGTACATCAGTTTCAGATATAGTGTTCAATAATTTATCAGTTGCATACCCAGTGCTCATCACATCACCTGCCCTCCTAATGCCCAACCCTCAATTACCCCATCCCCCCACCCACCTCCCCTTTATGCTGACCGAAATAGGTCAATCAGAGAACGACAATTATCATATGGTTTCACTCATATGTGGAATATAAGAAACAGGGCAGAGGATTGTAGGGAAAGGGAGGGAAAACAATGGGAAGTCATCAGAGAGGGAGAAAAACCTTGAGAGACTTAACTATAGGAAAAGCATATATTTCTTAATTAAATTTTAAAAAGAACATATTAGATATAAAAATATACTCCTGCTTATTTTAAAATAACCTGTAGAATTATAAATTTGGCAATGGAAAGAGCATTAAGTATGAGCTTATCCAATTCTTTATGCATAATGAAACTAAGGCACAGAGGCTAAGTGACACAAGAAAGTATAGCTCTTTTGTTTGATGAGCTCCAAAAATCTAGGCTACTATTTACTCACAAAATTTAAAACACTGATATTTCTTTATGTACTTTAGCCTATTAAAACCCAAATTAAGTGTTTTTATAATTATAAAATGTGAAATGATTCATTTGATATCACTATTTATGGACAGCATTGCAATAATTTCTTAATAAAGAATGATAAAGTACTAGCATGCTTTTCAGATACTGGTTTCTTCATTGATTGTCCCATGTACTTTAAATTATAAAAACTTTATATTCCTTAGATCCTTCCTTATTTCTAAAAAGTACCTTGGAATGATAGTTACCTTTTTTCTTTTCTTTTTTTTTTTGATAGTTACCTTCTTTTCCACATTCTTTTACCTATTTTCCTCTTTTCAATTATTTAGTGGATGATATTTGTTTGTTGGCATCCGAATACAGTTAATAAATACCTGCCATTTACTTTATGATGGTACTCTGAGAGTCTCTCGAAATGGGATGCTAGCACAAGTAAACTAGTGGGTGTGTTGTAATAGATATATTTTGTTGGATACTGAAGAAGACAAGTGGAGGAAAAATGAACTCAAATATTGTGCAGGTTGAGAAATATCTATAATTACATTTTCATTTGTATGCATATCTACATGTATTTATTTGCTTTCTTTAGTGGGTTAAAATGTGAACAGTTAGAAATCCTTCTTGTTTCATTATGGAATACACAGGCCTGGACCTTTAAGATTCTCTTTAAGTATTTATATGTGTAAGGAAAAATGGGAAATTCTAATACTTATTGATTTTTGCTTTAACTTCAATGTATATCCGTGGATACTTAATTACTACCATATTTATCAGTAAGCCTAAATATTATAATGTATTTTTTCACTTTCACATGAAAAAAATGAAAATGACATCATAAAATCTTCACAAAATGGTATGTAATTTTTTTAAAAAATAATTTGATTTTAATAATAATGATATTAGTGGGGCACCTGGGTGGCTCAGTTGATTAAGTGTCTGACTCTTGATTTTGGCTCAGGCCGTGGTCTCAGAGCTGTGAGATCGAGCCCCAGGGTTGGGCTCCCCGCTCAGCAGAGCGTCTGCTGGAATCTGCTGGAGATTCTCTCCCTCTGCTCCTCCCCCTGCTCACATGGTGTCTCTCTCTCTCTCTAAAATAAATCCTTAAAGAAAAATAATGATGTTAGTAATACTTGTTGGATTTTATGGTATGCCAGGGAGTGTGGTACTCACAGTAAATGAAAAAGTCTACGTCTATCTCAAAATAATTGTTATTTATGCACTGTTATCAACTCCATTTTATAGGGGACGAACCTAAGGCTCATGTAGTAATTTCTCTAAATTTAGATATTTTGTAAGGGCTGGAGTTGAGTTTATAATCCAGGCAGCCTGATTCAGGGTCCATGATCTGGCCTCTGTGAAATGGGAATTAATGTAAACATTGTTTTATTCTTTTTCCTGTTACAAAAGTCGTGGTTTCTTCAGTGAACATCATTTTGAAATTGAAGGGAAAAGATCAACAGTGATAGATACAAACAAATTTTTTCCAGAGAATAAAAAGAAACTTTGTTCTATTGTTTACAGAAATCCAGATATTTAGATTGATACTGAACATGTGTATTAAACAGATGGTGCTGTAAAACTGTTCTTATTTCTCTTTGCTGTACTGCCCTGAGTTTGAAGAAATAATAGATTTTTAAAAATTACACAGCTCTTGCCAGAAAATGAATTCTCAATTTCAAAAGTGGTTAGTGATTGTAAAATGTGCTTTATTTTGTGTGGCTATGTTTTGAAGTACAAATCTCAGGAAGTGTCTCAATTATAAAGTATCTGCATTTTTTTTTTTTTAAAGAGAGAGCTTTTTTTTGAAGATTTAACTCATTTATTTGACAGCGAGGGCACAAGCAGGGGAAACAGCAGAGGGAGAGGGAGAAGCAGGCTCCCCGCTGAGCAGGGAGCCCGATGCGGGGCTCGATCCCAGGACCCTGGGTTCATGACCTGAGCCGAAGGCAGACACTTAACCAACTGAGCCACCCAGGCGCCACAAGTTTCTGCATCTTCTGAATGTTAGCTTCCTAAGCAGCTGAAAATATGCTATGTCCACTAAAAGCTTCCTGTAAAATAGGAATTTCAGGAATAAGTGAATGTGTTCCTGAGACCATAAGCAAAATATAAAAACTAGAATTCATGTTTGAGTCCATGGTTCTATAAAGTCTCCTTCATTAAATTGGGTTTCTTTTATGTAATTTCTGAAAATGAAGCTGAGTTCTAGCAATGATGTGAAACTGGAGATAAAAATGAGATTCAGATCTAACTGAATTCTCTTCTCAGCTCTAAGACTGTTTCAGAATCTGAGGATATTCTTTGACTTGATCAGGACAGATCAGTGACTAGCGCTTTGCCAAGACTGCACTCAACAAAGTTCACTAAATTTCATAAATATACAATGACATAAAAATAACGCGTGGCATACACCGATATTAAACATACAATGTTTATGATGTTAATTTTGTAATTAGGTGAGATTTGTAATTGAAATATCAAGTAATGGTAATCAGGATTCTCTGTTTTAATCTTACTCAACACATACACACTTCATATAATAAACATCTAAAAATAAAATGACAAATATATTTTGATGAAATATTTGTGCTTAAAGTATAATTCAAATTGTTAGAGACACCAAATTCAAGTTTTAAGGAATTATAGTATATGTTGATCATTTTAAATATGTTGAATTAAAAAAAAAAAAGACACTACCAGGGGTGTTAGAATGGACAGAAATGTACAATTTTGAACTGTATACTAAAAGGCCTCGGGAGAAAGGAATGCAAATGGAAACTGCAAGGGAGATAGAGAAATAAAAAGCAAAGAGAGGGAAAAAAAGCAAAGAGAAAATGAAAGCAGGGCTCAGGCTTAATGGTGTGCATATGTGTTTGAAAAAGGAAGGGCAGTAGGTAGAACCATATTCCTGCATTTCTCCATACCAGCCTGTTGTTCATTCCCAAAGCTTTCTCCTGCCCAATTTATATTCTCTATGAAAAATAAATCTCGTTAGCATGTTACGAATGTTAACAAGTGCTCCGGGCACCTTACAGAAAATACCACCAAATTAAACTTTCAGGAAGGAAACCCATTTTCTACCGTCGCATAACTCTACCAACTCTTGTCTGTATTCCAAACTGGTAGTTCACATTTTAGTTTTAATATGTATAAAACTTTGCTTTTCTCCAACATCCCTGAAGAGCTATTAAAGAGAAGCAAAAGTTTAAATTACATGCATTTTATAAGAACTCAGGCCCAATGTGTTTGGAGGGAGAATGGCAAAATAAAAGAGGGCAGAATAGAAAAGGCAAGAATGCAGAGAAGACAGACAATTTTTAATGACCTAGTGACATCTTTATTAAATTAACATACCTATTTGAAAATAAAGAAATGTAAAATGAGTAAATGCTTATGTTTCATGTATGTTTAACAGAAATTTTTATAGAGTAGCTCACATTTCTCAGCTACAAAATGTTTTATAAGTTTTTTTCTTTACTTTTTTCTCTAGGAGATGATGAGGCAACCGAAGTATTTCAGGTTATCAAAATACAAACAAGGTATATTTGTTATTAAAATATAATTAATAAAGATACAAAACGGTAGCCATAAAGCAGCACGCTGGTATTTTGTGTGTCCTTGCTTTGCACAGAATCATTCCTAATTGTAGGAAAACACATTCTAGTCCAAGGTTTTTAAACAATAGACCAAATAGTAAGCATGGAGGGAGAATTCTTTAAATTAAAACTGCATGTTCTGGATTTGTTATCTGGCCTAAGTCTAAAAAAATAAATAAATAAATTGAAATTCAGCTTTGTGAGCCTGGTAGGAGGAAGTCATTGTAAAAGCAGAATACAGTCTCTTCTTAGGGTTTTTTATGTATAATTATTATTGTGCTTGTTTTACAGCATTAAGGAAACCTGAACAAATCTACAAGCACCACTACCCACCCTAGAACTTGAAAACTGAATTTATTTTAAGTAGAGGAATCACACGAGGTAAAGACAGTTAAATGCATTTAACTCTGTATTTAAGGATCCAGTATTCTGTCAGTTTTAGGAGGATCATCTGCCAGAACAATCAGATATCTCCCCAAGGTCTGTGGGACACTTTCCCAAAGTGCAGGGATAATGGATAGCTGTTTTTTACTTATGAAATCTGCCTACTGGCTCAAAGTGAAATGGTTCAGACTACTTAAAGAGGTCGCTACACCAGGAAACCCATACAGGAGGTAACACAGAGTTAAACTTCAGCCCTTTTTAATGGTCCTTACACCATATATGCTTTCATGGGTTTATATTTCAGGCTCACAATCTTGCTTACATGAGAGCATTGACTTTTCAGGTTACAATCTTTAAATTCCAGATTCCTACAACCAAGAAAAAATTTAGAAAAAAAAAGTATTCAAAATATATTTAATTTTTCAACTCAGTCCCAAAGAAATTAAGGTAAGCCATTATGTTAGTGTTCTATTGCTGCGTAACAGATTACCACAAATGTTTTGTGTATCACGGTCTTGGTGAGTCAGGCACAGGGGCTGGTTCCTCCCTACTCAAAGTGTCACAGGGTACTTTCTCCTCTAGAAGCTATACTGGAGAAGACTCTGCTTCCAAACTCTTTCAAGTTGTTGACAGAATTCATTTTCTCATAGTTATATTCCTAGGACACTGGCTTTTCGCTGTTCTTAGAGGCTGTCTGCAGCTCTCTGTCACATGGGATTCTCCAACACGGCTACTTCGTTTATTGAACCACAGGGAGCGTCTCTTGCTTCAGTCTGCTAAGATCAAGTCTTATATACTGTAACATCCCATCACGTTTGGCAGATACGGTTAGTTAGAAGCAAGTCACAGGTTCCCCCCACACTCAAAGACAGAGGATTACCCAAAGGCATAAACACAAGAGATGAACATCCTTAGGTATTGCATTGGATTGGTCCTCCATAATTACTTAAAGTCATAGAACAAGTTAAAGGGAAAACTTGAATAGGAACACAGTTCTCCTGCAAAACACACCACCTTCTCCTCCAATTTACTGCCTGTCTTCACAGTCTCTCCTTCCCATGGCTCCATTAGCCATTACAATGGATTTTAATTAAAAATTCTCTCAGATGTTATTTGTAATCAAAAATTAACATCCTACTACAACATAGCTTATTCTTTATTTATGATTCTACGTTAAATTTTTGTATTTTTTTTCTATCTCTTCACTAGGTAAGAATATGAGACAAAGTAGGGATAGGAGGAAAATTGAAATAAATTGTTTTATTTTATGATATATATAAGTATATGTTATTTATATGTATTATATTTCTTAATCTACTGCAATAAACATCCCCCTGTCTAGGCTCTGAAAATTACTGAAACTGAATCAGGAGAGTTTAGCCTTATGTCCACCACATTTTCTCATATTGGTGTGGTATTGAGAATTAAATACTCCATTATAATGTTTGAATTTGAAATCCACTGACATCTGGCTGAGAAACTTATGGCAAATTCTTTAAACACTTTGAACCTTATATTTTTATCCGTAGGGCAATAATATAAATTCCATAAGATTTCTTTGAAGATTAAGTAAGTTCTCCTATTGAAATATTTCTTTTTCTTTCTGGTATTTGTTTTCCTATATGTAAATTGAAATGTCTGAGCATTTGTTTGTTTGTTTGTTAAAGATTTTACTTTATTTATTTGAGAGAGAGAAAGCAAGAGACAGAGCACGAGTGGAGGGGGAGGGGCAAAGGGAGAGGGAGAAAAAGACGTCCCCCTGATCAGGGAGTCCGACGTGGGGCTCTCTCCCAGGACCCTGGGATCACCACTGGAGTGGAAGGCAGATGCCCAACAGACTTAGCCACCCAGGCAACCCCAAAGTGGCTGAGCATTTGTACTAAATTTTCTTTCACCTTCAATTTTCTATAGGTATAACTCTATAATAGGAATAATTCAATACTTCTATTGGAATAAAGATTGATATGTAAGATCTCCCCTGGGATTGACAGAGTTCTGCTGAAAGTCCTTTACCATAGCAAGTGATCTAAACTGTGTTCTTGCAGAACCTGGACAATGCCAAAATAGAGATTAGGGCTTTCAAGAAAAGTATGTCTGATAGCCTTTCATTTTGCAAATAGAACTGACATGATTCTAAGATGTTCATTAATGTATTTTAATGTTTTTGGATTCTTTTTTTTTTTTTCCTTTGCAGAAAATTATTTGGCCAGTTATATCTCTGGAAGGATACAAATCACATCTAGTTCATGATCTGTTGTGTCCAGAAATACACTAAATTATTGTTACCTACCAGAAATTCCTTAATTTTTATTTCTAATGCTCAAAACCTTTCTTGGTTTGTTTTATCCAAATTTAATGTCTTTGTCTTTAATGTGTATCAAGTATTTCTGTATCTTCATGGCATTTTTTTTCTGCCCACTTTCAAATTCTTTGAACCTCTGTAGACCATTCACATAACCCCAATCTCAAAAATTTGACTGATTTATCTTCCTTTTAACTTAACCTTTTTGTAGCTCAATCATACCTTAAGTATTTGGAAAGTTTCCTGAAAATAAAGTCTCAAGACGTTATGATTTAAAATAATGAAAATTTTCTTTGAATAGAATACCTCATCCCTATTAAATCCCCCCTAAAAATAATTTGCTGTTTTCTGTCATCTGCATTTTGCCTGAAAGGGTGAAAGTAATTACTAAGACCAGGATTAGATTAGTTTGGGAAATATTTTCATGGCACCCTGGAAGTATTTTAGTTGACTTGGAAACTATGGCTAAAACAAAGTAGTTTTATTTCCCTTCCTGATTTTGTAGCTTTCTTGCTCCCAGAGAGTTGTAACATGGTGACTAGTGTTGCTTACAAGAATATTGGATTTCACTGGGTGCCAGATCACACCGTCTTTTTAAGCCATGTTACTTTCAGAGATAATTTGCCCCACTCTAAAATCATTAAGGATATTCATTAAGTATGTCAGTCTTTTGTAGATCAATATATCTAAAGTAAAATGCACCGTTGTTTGCTTTTAGTTTCAGTCGTGTTTTCTTTTAGGCTTTCAGTATTTTGTTTTTAATAAGCCAGAGTAGCTCCTCACATAATCAGACAGCACCTTGTGTAATGAGCTACTGTTTATTGTTATTCCTAGCAACAGACCATATAAGGGTAAGGCCTGTTAAGTGCAAGTGTGCACATGAGATGCTCCTTCACCTCGCAGTGAGGGCCTATATGAGCAGAGGAAGGACAATATTTTTCCTCCTTTTAGTCTCCAGGCAGATTATAGTGGCTCCAGCCTTTCTGTCTAGAGGCCTGGATCTGCTATGCTTGGTGATTCTTTCCCCTACAAGTCCACTGATATCTTCCAATCCTTACAAACTTAAAAGCACAAAGCAGAAAACATTTACTTCCTATTATGTTAAGTCACATTTAAAACGCAGGACCAGACTTAAGGCAGCTTAACCCAATCCACCATGAACTCAACTTATACCATCCTAAAAAAGCAGCATGGGTTCCAGTTGAACAACTTATGCTTAGTCCACTTATGCTTATGCTTTCACTTTAGTTACTTTTCCCAAAAATTATACGTAGTTTGTCTTTAATTTAGGCTATCTAGAGTATGAATACTTTTTAAGAATGTTTATTGAACACAGTTTCAATTAAGACCTCAAATATATTGAAAATACTCAAGTTATTTTAAGTTACCTATTAGTAATTGACCGTCCACCAATTACCTAAGCTGAATGAGGTGTAATTATTTGGCAAAGAAAATAAGCAGGTCAGGGGCGCCTGGATGGCTCAGTTGGCTAAGCATCTGACTCTTGATTTCAGCTCAGGTCATGATCTCAGGGTGGTGGGATCAAGCCTCGTGTCAGGCTCCATGCCCTGCATGGAGTCCATTTGGATTTCTCTCTCTCCCTCTTCTGTGCCCCTCCCCCCACTCTCTAAATAAATAAATTAATTAAATAAGCACGTCAGAGAGGACAGGTGGACCAATGAAGACACAACTCAAAATGAATTTAGACAGAAAAGAAAATTGCGTATACAAAATGAAATCATTTGAATTGAGAAGGAAGAAAATCCATAGGAAAACCACTATTTATGGCATTTCTAGGTTTTAAAAATGCTACCCTGTATTTTGAATATTTGACAAAAGTGTAAAAAAGAAAATCTGATTACAGTTATTTTTGGCTTGGTGAAAAAATAGGAACAAAGAGGGAAATGGATTTTTTTTTGTTCCAATAAATTTGACATTACATAGGGCCAATGCATTTTAAATATACATACTATTTAGTGAAAAGCATACTCTATTGATACTCTGTTGGGGAACAGGAGTATCCAGAATGGATCTTCAATAATGTTTAGCACCCCTAACTCTATCTCTCGCAAGTGAAGACTTGGAATAGTTTGTATGATCCATTACAGATACGTAATTCTATGACCGTAATACTATTATTATCTGTAAATAAGTACCCAAACAAAAATAACCAAGTTGGATTCTTAATCTGATGCCATCAGGGCTGCTTTCTGCATTGTAGAATGATTACCAAGCTTAAAAATCCCAATGAAATCTTGAATACATGCAACTTTACTTAATTTAGTTCTTTAACAATCAAAACAAACACATGCAATGGATGCAACTTTTATAACTTTTCCTCCTAGACTTTTCTAAACTAAAGCAAAAATAGATGGCTTATTGATTCATTCTGCACATGTTGTTACTAACAAATGAGTCAATATAAAATTTAAGATCTCTTTACACGTGCTTATCAGAACTTCCTATTTGCTTCATCCAGCATATTTCTGGGCTTAAAAAAAAGTGTCAGAAATACTGCATGGTATAATATCTGTCCTCTAGAAATACAACAAATACATGTTTTTTTAATTTATTGCTATATATTTAAATTATAAGCTGTACACAAAGATAAAACTTGGGTTATTAAAGCCTCCTATCCAGTATGTTTTGAGCAATGTCACTGAAAGGTATGATACAGACAGTGGCAAATATGAAGTATGTGGTATTTGGCAAACATTGCCAGTAGTTGAAAATGAGCAATGTAGTTTTTTTCCCCTGTTCTTCCTTTAAACGTAACATTTCACAGTATGAAATTATTCATTTTCATAATATTGATTGAATCATATATAAAGTTTATAATTCCAAAGAAATCATATTTCTTTACCTTTCTTTACATTTACATTTTGAAAAATGTTACCAGGATTAGTTTTCATATTGAAAAATCATATGCAAGAATTTAATATGTCTGTTAAGAAGATATTTCTTTGAAGAGAACAAGGGATTTTAGGGTTTGAATAAGTAAAGCGAAGTTAGATGACATCTTAATGTGAATAATGGGGAAACTGGAAGAGAATTGTGTACTATTTTTGCAACTTTCCTATGAATCTAAAACTAAATCCAAAATGAAAACGTCTTTTTAAATAAGCAAATAAATAAAATGAAAGTAGGTAGAAAGGAAATTTACCACACTGTGGCAGTGCATCAAGAATTGAGCTAGCCATCTTGAAAGGTATTATTTCATTTGTAATGTATTAACAATACCTATTGAGAGAGAAAAAAGACATAACAACACTAGAGATTAAAAGGAAAATCGACAACACTGCAATAGCCTTGCATAACAGCAACCAACAAAAACAAGTTTTCTATTTTACCAAACTAAACTATCATGACTTAACATTTTGCATGCAAAATGTCTCCCCCAAATTCACTAATATAGGTTATTTTAATGTTTTTGATAAATTTGCTCTAAGGGCAATGTATGCTTATGGCGGATATTTTAGAATATGTAGAAAAGAAAGAAGAAACTAGAAATCATCATAATCCTACCATTCACAGATAATATATGTGTTCTTTTTTATCTTTAAGTCTTTTGGATATGCCTATGTGTACATAAAAAGAAAACAGAAATTTTACACTATATCCTGTTTTATGCCCTACTTTTGTGTTTATTTTCTAATTACACAAATTACACAGAAATGCATTTCATAATTGTTTTGTGCATTTTTTCATTTCATTTTGTGTAGATTTATAATACACACACAGCATATTTTAACACAAGTTTGATCACATAATTGTGTTTTTCAGGGTTGTAATTTTTCACTCATTACTATAGTGGTTTATATTAATGTCTCTCTCACCCATAAATCCTAAATTCTGTAAGGGTACATACCAAGTCTCCTGTTATCTTCGTATACCCAGGCCTGAGTATCAATCCCAGCATGGCTGTAACAAGACCTCTCCATAGGTCTTGAAGTTAATTTCAATTCTTTCCAGACATGTCACTAGATTTTATATCACTCTGTTTTGTATTTGTTTGTTTTTATGATTGCTCTTACCTTCTAAAATCCTTTTAAATAATATATTTTAGTGTTTCAATTTAGAAGTTGTACTGTGAGCTACTAGATGCCGTGTAAGCTCATATAGATAGTTTCTTAACCTGAAATGGAATATTCTTATGAGAATATTCTGTATTGTTCTGTGTTCTCAGCATTGTTCCAAGTAGAATTACTAAAAGAATAAATTTTAGCAGTTGTGGGGACTAAAGCAAGATACTGCTTTTCTATTTAATGTCCTAAAAGAGTAATCAAGAGATATTGCTCCTGAAAATGAAACCATAGTTATCTCCATAAAAATATTCTTCTCATTGTCCTCTTGTTGTCAAGTTTCCTGTAGGAAAGCATTTGAGTCTGATCAGATTCTCCCACTGCACATTGTAATTCTTCCTTCATAATACTCATCACACTAGTAGTTACTTATTTATCATCTTTGTTCCCCACTAGACTGTAATTATAAAAGAACAGAGACAATGTTACATTTTCTCACCTCTACAAGCATTGCCCCTAAAAATCTGCTTGACACATAGTTATTTGTAAAGCCAAATTGAACAGAACAGTGCCATCCTTGGATACAATGCTTAATCTTCTTGATCAGTACTTCCCAACCAAGAAAAATTAATCATGGAAAATTGTAGAATCAGGAGGTGCAGACAGATCAGCTTATTAGAATTACTAAAATATATTTCATAAACCTTTGTATGAATCTAACATGACAGTGCCTACTGGCACACAACTGATGCTTAATAAGCATTTATTGAATGATATATGATTTATTGAATAATGATTAAATAAATAAATACTTGCATGTGTTAGTGAATGAGACAAAATGTCAATTATGAGACATCATCCCTGATCGAACCATTTTTGTCACTTGCTAGCTCAAATATTTAAACAGGGCTTCTTCACGTGGAAAACACAAATACTTGCCGCAGGGCCGTTATGGGGCTTTAATAAGATTACACTTGAGAAATCCCCTAGCACTATGTCTGTCATATAATAAATATGAGGTACATATTCTGAAGATTCTGGCCACCATTAGAAATCCCCTCCTGGTATGGATTAGAAAATCTAAGATTTGTTTGTTTGTTTTCATTTGTTTTTGAGAGGAAGCAAATTGGAGTTTTTTAAAGAGTATATAATACCTAACTTGAATAATCCCCATAAATTTGATAAAATAATATTATCCTTATTAAAGCATTTAGGAAATGCTTTAAGTTACATTTTGCAGTTATTTTTATCTTATCAAACCTTTTTTAAAATTTGCCTTGCAAACTTCTCTAATTATATAAATTTATAATAGAACACATTATTTCAAAGTACAGATATGTTCTTGATGCCTTTTTACTGGTAACTAAATTGTCTGCCAACTTCTTTTCTTTCTTCAATCAATAATTCCTGATGCCTACTCATTGATTTACTTACAATAGTTTAACTAATTGAAATATTAAAGATCAAGGTAGGAGGCAGTATGCAGAGGTAGTATTTGACTTTAAATGCATTATTTTATAATTAAAACATTTATTTCAATTTCTTTTAAGGGTATTTCATGTTGTTATCGATCAAAGAAAAATAAGAAATACTGATATTTCACTATAAAACAGGACATTTAAAAAATTTGGAATTACCTGCTTTCTTTATCATCAAATGTCTTCAAAGAGGTATGTGTTTATTTTCTCTGCTCCTCATTTACCCCTGTTTTATTGCAACATTCTGATTCTCTTCCTTAATTTCCAGTTGCTCCCTTTTTCTTCTTCATTTGGTGTACAAATTTTGTTATCACAACTATCAAGATCTTTAGTCTCTCCTGACCTCAATATCTTCATGTAGGAAGGGGACTTCAAGATACTCACTAGACCCAGGAGTTTATGTATCTGTGTTTTTAAGGATTTCTTATTTTTTATCTCACCTTCTAAATGCACATATTTACCAGGGTTTATTCCTTGACTTTTCTCTCCTGTGCTTTACACAAATACGCAATCTTAACAATCTCTGCTTCAAACTACAGCTCTATGGAAACTCCTAAATTGGTATCTCTAGGCCTAATGTTTCACCATTTTCTCCCTTAACTGAAATCTTCAACTTGGCTGTGTCTCTGAAACTCTTCAGGAAACAGATTTGAATAAGCCACACGAGACTTCTCTGTGTTCTGAACATGTCTGGTGTATTTTCTCTGTTCATTGACATCATTCCATCCACTGAATGGGATAAACCTATGTGAATAAAAACCCAGTCTGGCTTTAAGCAACAAAATATATCCACCTTTCCCATGAAGCTTTTGTTCTTTCACTATTCAGCTAGAACATTGCCCAACCCTTTGCAAAGAATATGGAATAGAATGCAAATAAAATAGAGAACACATGTCTGTTCTTACAGAAGACATTGTTTAGTTCTCATTCTTAAACCCACTTGGAAAAAATTGCTTCTTTTTTTTCCACGTTTCAAGTTTTTTATTTAAGTTCTAGTTAGATAAGATAGCATAATATTGGTTTCAGGAGTAGAATTTAGTGATTCATCACTTACATATAAGACCCAGTGCTCATCCCAAGTGCCCTCTTTAATACCCATCACTTATTGAGCCTATCACCCCACCCACTTCCCCTCCAGCAATCCTGTTTATTCTCTATAAGTAAGAGTCTCTCTTTTAGTTTGCCTCCCTCTCTTTTCTTTTTCTTTCAACCCTATGTTCATCTGTTTTGCTTCTTAAATTCCACATACGAGTGAAATCATGTGGTATTTGTCTTTCTCTAACAGACTTGTTTCGCTTAGCATAATATTCTCTAGCTCCACCCATGTCATTGCAAATGGCAAGATTTCATTCTTTTTGATGGCTGAGAAATATTTCATTACATAT